CTTTAGTTATTGGCCCTCTGACTTCCCAATTCGTGTAATAAACTGTATTATGTGCATTTTGATCACTCACTTGGAACCAAGAAACATAAGGCTGAGACACATGGCCTCCTTGCAGTGTAACTTGCCTAATCACCAAGAATGCAATGCTCAGGGTAGAACTGTCATTGTTATTCAGTGCATCCTTCACCAAATCACGGACATAACCTTAAAAAACAGTTCAGGAGCATTTGTTAATAACAGATGCAACTGTGCATCACTATGTTGTAGCAATTATTTGAATTAACCAAACAGTCATCTTTATACCCTCTAGCATGCCAGCAGCCTCCTTCACAAGGACCACAAACACTGACAGAAAGGCAAGGATTCCTTCTACATTAACCTGAAACATAACAAAGACATGAATTTCAATTTCAGGTTTGAGTGCATAAAAAATGTTTGTTAATTGACAAGAAAAAACAACTTTGCAATGTAATACTGACTCGATTACAACAACTTCATATATTAAGTCATACCCATACCTTGTCCTTAAAGAAAGCATTCTTCAGTGATTCCATCACATACACTGGATCAAAGACCAAAAGAAACTGGTGAAAACAAAAAATATTAACTGATGATGATGACAAACAAATCTTAACATCCATTCAATGTAGCGACAGTGGTTTAGCATGGTCTGTACTCTTATCAACAACAATCTTTGTCATCACACTGGTTAAATTTTGACCTCTGTGATGACATATAATTTTTATTGTTATTGGTAAGAGTACAGACCACACTCAACCACTTTCAATTTGTTTTTTACCAGAATATCAATGTCAAATAATACAGTTTCAGAACGTGACTAAGATCGTGACACACTGATCCAACCAGTTTGTCTGTACTCTTCATGATGCGGCAAATTGGCCAATCAGATTGCAACATTACCACAAATTCTGGCAAAATAGTCTCTTGATGCATTTCTATCAATCATTGAGTAGATTTTTCCCTCTTCGTTGACCACGCCTCATCAGTTTGTCAAAACCTTTTGGTACCATCATTTTCAAGGCTTTTCACTCTCAATTCATTTTTGCAAAGTTTATGAAAATGTGATGATGCAAAGTAGCAAAGAGGCTACTTGTGTAGTCATCAATTGAAATTTATAGTTAAAAGCTTACTTGTTCAAACACTCTTTTCATTGCTTCACCCAATAATGAGAACTTCAATTTCTTTTGTTTACAAAAGGCAGAATGTAGCACTGTTTTCTCTACAAGAATAAACATCAAAATGTACAATGCTCCATTCAAAGACTCCTGACTTCCCAAGAACACACATAGGGTACATGTAACAGGCAATTAAGTCACTATTAAGCAAATTTTTTTGCACCTTACAAAATACAAAATACAAGGTTTGTCTCCTATCGGTAGACTCATACTACAAATTTCATCCTTCTATATATACCTGTGTCAAGACACATTAAGTTTTACATCAATTGTTTCTTTGCCGAAAAACAATGGAGTCTCCTTAAAGATCTCCATACAGACCTAACGGCTGCTACCAAGTTAATATCATTCTGGAATATGTTCATCACGAAATATCTAATGATAGCCTGGTGGCAACAAACAAGAAACAAATGCTTAAAAACATAAGGAATGACTAAGAAGTTCAATATCTCTATGGGTCACCTGAAATGATGTAAGGTTAACAGTAACAAGCATTTTTCCTAAATTAATATAGGATGTTCAGTGATTACCATGCATGTCTAGTAAATATTTTCTTACCAACATCTGTTTGCAATGTAAAAAACCTAGAGAGCTGCCTCGAGAAAAACTTTTTTATAGTGGTCCAGGGAACATCATTCAGCTTTCTAATAATCTCAAAGACAAGAAACCTAAAAACAGAAATCTTTCATTATTAAACGAGAATGAATTACCAGATCAGTGTTTCAGATCATTGAACAATTCTAAGAGATAAGATATCAATACTGTGGCTGTAATATTATTATATATTAACACGAAAAGTGTACAAATTTAAAATAAATGAAACACAGTGTGGCCAATGTACACAATGTACCTCAACAGCAGTTTACATGCACCTGTTTGAGCTATCTTGTTCTGAAGAAATGTTTTCAACTTGCTTGCAAACTGAAAAATCACTCCTATCCACAACAATATCCAAAATTTCTTGTGAAACCTGTGGGAAAAAATCATGCAGGACTTGTATTAGTTCTCAAAATCGGTGTGTCATTCTCTGGATAAGTGTTATGTCAATACAAAAAGGCAATTGTTTAAAAAAATGTTGGTCCCTATAGAGAGGTTTTTCCATCCAAATTGTTTCCTGGTTTGTGAAACAACTACTAGCAAATATTTTAAACAAGTATCAGTGTAACATTTAAAAAAATAAATACTTTGTTAAGTATTCATCAGTCACTGGTGATTGGAGAACTCTCTACTAACGACACATAATTCTTCATCTAAATTAAAACATTTTACAAATGCTATTTTTTTTAATCAGAAGTGGACTATATACTCCTGTTACTTAACACTAAATTCCTTCAGTTTACTAACATTTTTTATCTAAAACCTTTAACTTGTTTAACTTACTTCAAAAATATATGTCATTAACAATTTTATTGATAATTCTTTTGGGTTTTTTTTTTTTAATTATTATTCATTTATTTACCAATTCTGCTGACTTCAAGTAAGCCAGACCAAACTGAGAGCATCTGGGTACAGCAACATCCATAGTGACACTATGACAAACATCATTAATTTTTACCTTTTCTAAGGTACTGTTAGATCCTTCTCTTATTTTGCTTTCAGGAAAGGAAAATATAAGCAATCGTACCAAAAGATCTGGCAAGGTAAAGAGAAATGACAGTCAAGTGAAAAGAAGCAGGTTTCATCCATTTTCAACACTGCAAGCATAATAAATCCTTCTAAATCATACTTTTAACTTGGAGACTAGCATTCAGCTTTTAAAAAGTTGAGCATACCTGATAAAATAATTTCTTGCTTTTCTACATCCATTATGTTTAAACAAAGTGCTATAAGTCCATTAGAGAGTGCATCAACTGTCTCGCTGTGATTCAAACAACTAGAGTAGTGGAGGAAACATTGACTTTTCTCAGACAAGTGTAACTTTTAAATCACAGTAACGTTAAGTCTTGATCATTATTTCTCCCAAGTCAAAGTTAAATGAACTTTTAATAAAATTTGTCTGTATTAATCATTTTTTAATAATTATAACTGAATATCTATGCAGTTTTCTTAATTGTCAAAGAAAATTGTTTCCAAATTGATCTTGTACATGATATTAGATGCATGTTACTGACTATGCTATGGAAGCATGGCATTTGCTTTTTTCCATTTACAATGTTCACTCCTTACCATGCTAAATATGTGTTGAAGGAAACTATGAAGTTTTTATGAAGCATCCAGACAACTTCCAATGGAGTGGTGGGACCCTGAAATGAGAAATTTTAATTAGCATTAGGTAATGGCTTATTCTGTTCAAAACAAATCACTCAGTCTCACCAGCAATCTTACTTTGAATTCCTCTTTATAAAGCCACAATAATAGTCTAACCAAGTTAATATTTTTGTGTAGCATGTTAGCCCTCAAATTTGTTGGGGTACTGAGAGCTCTAAATCCTACAGCTGTTGACTTACAGCCACTGTTTTAGAATGATGGGGGCAAAATATTAAAATGATTAATTAATGAAAGTTTGTCCATTCAATAAAAATTACAATTGTCATTTTTTTTATGCTAAGGATCATTTCTTGCTTTGCTCTGCAACAGACTCTGGCTTCATTGTATAATTGTTGTACTTCATCTAGTTATCAGAACCAAAGTTATTTTGAAATTGTAACACATTCAGTGTTAATTACATACCAAATAGTTACTGTAAATACAATGACTCGTCACTTCAAGGGTTTATTACAAACCACCACTATGATCAGCTCTCAGTTGTCTTGTTAGCTTGGTTGGTAGAGCAATGCACCAGTATTGCAGAGGTCATGGTTTTGAATCCCTTACAGGCCCGAATTTTTTTATTTTTTCAGGTCTTCTTTTCACTACTGCTTAAGTAGTACTCCTTACTGCAAAGATCGTTCTCATGCGTGTTTCTTTGACTGCACTTCAAATATATGATTTTTATATATTGATAGCCATCGACAATGAATTAAGATAATATACACCTTGTTGGTCAAATGTTTCGTGAAGTACACTCTGTTGAAACACTGTTCTGACAACATCTTCTTTATCAACTCCAAAACAGCCATAATGGATTCCTAAAATTATAAGAAAATGTGATACAAATAAAACTTACAACAATTAATCTGACAAAATAAGGAATTTCATGGCAAGCCAGTGGCTTCCTTCATATTACTAACTTCAACTAGCATGATCTATTTTAACAACTAGTTTATAAGCTTAAGATTTCTATCCATGATAGCTGATGATATTCTACTATCTTACAGAACAATTTATCTCATTTACCAGTTGTTTCTTTGTTAAGAGTTGTTCAGAGGAATTGCAAACAGCAATAAGCCTTCCACTCAACCTTTCTGCAGTCAATAATTCTAAAGGGCAAGCTGCCTTAGAGGCTTGACATTTTAGCACACTGAAGCAACTTTCGACTAAAAACAAGTACAACAAAGGAAAGACAAAAAAAATATAATCAATAGAGCATGGTACTAGAGGTTCTCTTTTTACCATCTGAAAAATAAAGAAATAATTATTTAAATAAACTTTACTGCATCTCAGCTTTCCCTCTAGAGTTCTCCTTTATTTTAAATGTGAAAGGTAAAAGAAGTCTATAAAATTGTCTGGTAAGTAAATAATTCTCAATCCTCAAAACTTTCCAGAATCGAAAGTCAAGTTTGGAGATGCTCACAGAGCGTTGCAAGGATCTTGGAGGGCAGTTTCTGGAGAGCAATACTAAGTCATATACTAAGTTCACATTAATTTGATTATCAGTGCTATGTCGGGCATGCCGGCCCGCGGTATCTGTCACATATGCGCACGCATGCCACGTGCGCACCTTGTAGATTTGACAATCGCCATGTTGAAAATAGAGATGTTGAGTTTGTATTGAGTTGTAGTAATTCGTCTGACTTAAATCCGTGAAACACAACAATCAGGCATACTGGTAGGTAACCTCCAACATCAGTGTGGAGAGAGTCCTGGGTATACACTGTGTATAATTTGATTTTTCCTCAACCCTATAATCCAATATGTTAACTTCTTAACATAATTTAAAATAAACTCACCGCTAAGAGAAGAGCACAGTTTAAACTTTGAATTTTCATCCCATGGATCTTCACTCTGTAAGTCACAGTGCAAACAGAAATAAAAGGTGCTTTTAAATGCCATAAAATTGACATTCAAAGAAGCTTTCCAGAATCATTTTGTCCTTAACTGATCGGTAAGACTATTAGAAATTTTGAAATGTACAATTCATCTTTCTTTTCAATCCCACAAGTTTCTTCCTCTGAGTGATACTTACTTACTGAATAAAGAACAACAAGATTCTAAGTTCTCAAGAGCTTCAATCTATTACTGTTCACGCTAAATTTACAACTGATATTCTTTCAAATTGCATTTTAATTTGTATCTGCTTTTTTTTCCAACATCAAAAATTAATGCCAACCACATAAAATCCAAAACCTGGAGATGTCTAATCCAGGGCCACTTCACCAATCTGCACCCGACCAGATAAAAAAATAATTCTGTTTTTTACTGTTTTGTTCCAGTCTCTAGCCACAAACTGATGAAATTGAATGGAATCACATAATCCCAAATGGAAAAAAAAAAAAAGAAGACATAATCACATTTAAAACCATCCTTGAAAAGTGAATTTGGTCAAGTTTAAATCTACTTGATTTCCTCTCCTGTTGCAGAAACCATTTTCTTCTTATTAAAAGGGAACAGAAAACCAGGGCTAACCTCCCTCAATATGCCCTCAAAACTGAAGTTATCATGCACCATTTGTAGAGCAGCCTTCTTAAGTTCATCTACAGATCCACTGGTCTTTTTGTGTTCTTTGATCTGAGTGCTCTCTACAAAAAAAATATTACACTTCCCTTTAAAAGCAGCTTTAGGAAATTTCATAGAAATCATCAAAGTCTAAAGAAGGGCCATTGAGGGTCCCTATTCTTTTCACATGAAGTGTGGTTGAGCAATTTTTTTCTCATGAATCCTGATTCGACTTTTTCTCCGTTCATGAATTGTGATTTAAGATGATACAATCTTTTTATGTCCATGTGAATGAATTTTTTTACTAAAACCTGATCTATGAAGTAAGAGCTGAATTAACCTGATTCATAAACCATTTTGTTTTACATGATGAATTTCAGGCTACTTTATTGTTGTGAAAATGTATGTATTGTTCTCATATGGCTTTGGTTAGGGTTTTGACAGGATATGGACTATATATGGATAGATAAAGGTCATAAAACAGACCACTAATGGTACTAGAACAAATAAGATAAGACATTGCATCATCTTTTGTCACAATTTACCACTTCAACTTTGTTGATATATCCAAGTTATTTTGTCACATGAGACTGGTCACGACTGGAAATATAAAATATTAATTGAATGTGATTGTCTTGAATTTCGTGGGAACATGAAAGAGTTTTGAATGTTATTTGTGATGGGTGATAAGGTCAGATATTTTTATGTGACTTAGTTCTACAGAGGGGTATGGGGATCCTTGCCATTTGGTTACTAAAGTATGTCCTTGGTCCTTTTAAAATCAATCAGTCTTAATTAAAATTGGTTGAAAGTCTAAAAGATTATTTTTGTTAAATTTGGAGGTGAAGATTTTGTTTTTCTTCAAATTTCACTAACCCTGGCTAAGGACTGCTAGCACTTTAATATATGCTGCAGCTGTTTAGTTGCCAATTGTCAGAAATGAGTTGCTTGAAATAGAAGTTAACCCTATCACTTGAACGACAACATGAAAAGTCTCCTGCAGGGCTGAACACTAACTTTTTAACCTACTAGCCAAGTGGCTAGAGTCAACTTAGATGTTACAACAATTTCTGTTTGTTTACAAGCCAAACTGGCCAGTGGAAATTGAAAACCACTAGTCAAAACAGAATTTCTACTAGTCTGTGGCTATTTGGCTACCATTAGTGTCGATCCATGCTCCTGATTGGCATTTCACAATGCTTTAACTTCGTATTCCACATCTATACTTCTCTAGCCCTATGCATTCTTCTGCTCAAGTGTTTAGCCTCCTAAAACAGCTGTGTGTACCGGTAATTTCAATATACCCACAAAAGCCTTTTTAAATAATATTATAAATAGTTTTTATAGTAAGTACTGTATATAGTTAAATCGCAACTTAATGTTCTTATATTTGTATATTTATATAATTTTATTAGATGTTTAACTAGATTATTATTTTGGAAACACCCTCGATAGGGCTAA